CCCCAATGCTTTCAGCTTTAAGTCTCACCTTTATTCATTGTCTCCTATCCATTTACTAATGAATTAATTTAAAAGTATTTATTGAGTGCATCCTATATGCCAGGCACATGCTGGGTACAAGGGTTAAAATAGTGCAGTCATTCTCAAAGTGTTGTCCTTGGACCAGCCTCATCAGCATCTTCTGGTGTATTAGTTATCTATGGCTGCCTAACAAATCACTCCAAGACTTAGCGGCCTAAAACAACAATAACCATTTTGTTGTCCCTCATAGTTTCTGTAGGTTCTGATTTAGAGTCTGTCATGAAGTAGCAGTCAAAATATTGGCTGAGGCTGCCGTCATCTGAAGGCTTGACCAGGACTGGAAGATCTGCTTCCAAGGTGGCTCATTCACATGGCCGGTAAGTTGGTGCTGGTTGTTGGCTGGAGACTTCAGTTCCAACCCGTTTGGACCTCTCTGCAAGGCTACTTGAGTGTCCTCACATCATGGTGGCTGGCCTCCCCCAAGTGAACAATCCAGGAGAGTAAGTGGCAAGCTGCAATTTCTTCTGTAACCTAATCTTGGAAGTCACACACCATCACTTCCACAATATGTTATTGGTCACGCAAGTCAACTTTACTTGATGTGGGAGGAAACCCACACGGGGTTTACGAGGAAGCAAGAATCACAACGGTCATTTGTGAGTCTGGGAACTTTTTAGAAATGCAAATTCTCAGGTCTAACCCAAGACCTACGGAATCAGACACCCCAGGAATGGCGCTCTATAACTGGTGTTTTAATAAGTCCTCCCAGTGATTCTGAGGTACACTAACATCCAGGAAACATTGCAGTGATGGATGAAACAGTCTCCATTCTCGAGTTGCTCATCACCCAGCCTAAATTATTAAACAGTCATGAAACAGTGCCGTAGTAAGCACAGGGGAGAAGTCCGGGGAGGTTTCCTAGCCCTGCATTTAAGTCTGCCCTAGCCTGAGCTCCTCTGACCCTTCCTCTTGTTCCTTATCATTCCTCTCCTACCTGGGCCCTCTGCTGTCATCTGCCCTCTATCCTGTCCCCATTCCCCCACATGGTGCTTATTCCCTCTCTGAGTGGATGTGACAGCATCTGGCATGGTGCCTAACACATGGTAATTGCTTAATAAATGTGACCTTGCTTCCATTCCCTTGTTCTGGATTTCACATCTGGAGGACCCATGTCCTGCACCCTCCTTCTAACCAAATTCTAACATTTTTTCAAAGCCTGATGCAGGGTTCCATTTCCATGAAGCGTTTCAGAGTTCTCCGTCTATTCTAGTTTCTCCCTTCCCTGAATCTCTGAGCACTCAGAGTCTGACTCATACAGCCTAGCCCTTGATTCCACTGATGCATTTTGTCCTGTATTTTTCCCTTAAGATTATCCATTTGTGACCATCTTTGCAGCTCTTATCACTATCTGAAATTGTTTTCTGTATTATTCTGTTTTCTTGTTGCTTCCTGTCATCACCACCTATGCCTCAGCCCTTACCTTTACCAATAGGCTTAAATCACTGCCCCTCCCACCCAGGGCCCCTGGGAGAGAACAGCCTCCAATGTCAAACACCTTTAAATTGGTTTGTCTCTGTTAATGGGCTCCTAGAATGTGCAAGGCCCCAAGGTAGGACCTGTACTACAGGAGAGAGTTCCCTTTTAAATGTTATTACCTGTGGGGCATTCTCATCCCAGGGCAGTCACCTCCTGTGCCTGAAAGAGCACAGGGCAAAAAACCTGCTGGATTCTTGGCTCTTCTGGCGACCGGCTGCATCATCCTTGGCAAGCCCTCCTCACTGATTTGAACTTCGGTTTTCTCATCTGTGACATGATGCCCATAGCCACCCACATCCGAAGGGTCATAAATACATAAGGAAAGAATGGATATGAAAGAATGAAACTATAAAATTGCCAGGGAAATGAGGGCTAATGCTTAAGAGTTATCAGTTATTTATCACCCATATATGAAATGTTCACTACACAATTAGGACCTGTATCAGGCCCTGGATATAGCATGGTGAAAGAGCTCCCTTAATTAGCACTAGAGACTTTGGAACAGTTATCAGGGTAAACAAGGCAGAGGTAGATTATTCTTTTTTTAAAAAAAAATATGTATTTTAAATTATTTATTTATTTATTGTGTAATTTGGAATGTAGCTATTTTTTTAATTGAAGTATAATTGATTTACAATGTCCTGTTAGGTTCAGGTGTGCAGCACAGTGATTCAGATATATATATATATATATTCTTTAGAGTCTTTTCCCTTATAAATTATTACAAAATATTCAGCAGCTCCCTGTGCTATACAGTAGGTCCTTGCTGGTTATCTATTTTATATATAGTAGTGTATATATGTTAATCCCAACCTCCTAATTTATCCATCCCCGTTCCTGCCTACCCCTTTGGTAACCATAAGTTTATTCTCTATGTATGTGGGTCTATTTCTGTTTTGTAAATAAGTTCATTTGTATCTGTTTTTTTTAGATTCCACATATAAGTGATATTTGTCTTTCTCTGTCTGACTTACTTCTTTTAGTACGATAACCTCTAGGTCCATCCATGTTGTTACAAATGGCATTATTTCATTCTTTTCTATGGGTGAGTAGTATTTCATTGTATACATGTACCACGTCTTCTTTATTCATTCTTCTGTTGATGGACATTTAGGTTGTTTCCATGCCTTGGCTATTGTCAATAGTGCTGCAGTGAACATTGGGGTGCATGCATCTTTTCGAATTAGAGTTTTATCTGAATATATGCCCAGGAGTGGGATTGCAGGATAGCTCTTTGAACAAGCTGGTGGAGGTTGTGTGTGAGGGCAGGAGGAGGGAATAGGACCCTGAGGGCCTGGCAGGGACCATTGGAAATGCTGCCATTCCACAGGCAGCTCCCTAAGACCTTCACCTTCCTTTCTTCCTGCCCCCAAGGACCCCAGGGCAGTCCTTGGTTTTGCTGTAGCACATTGCTGCCCTGTGTTTTCCCAGTGGGCTGGGGCCAGGAAGGGAGGGTAGATGGGGTCTCTGTGGATTCCTCTGAGTTGGGTTTCATCTGGAAGAGGCCCCTTAGAGAGCCTTGACCCACAGACCATATTCTGTCCCCCAGGGCTATCTATCAGGCCCCATCCTCTTTTTTTTTTTTTTTTTTTTTAATGTGGCAGCTGAACTGTGACTCACATAAATATTTCCCAGATTGTTTTCAGTACTAAAAGATGGTGTCAGTTCTAATTGTCTCAAGGATTAATTCTCCTGTATCGTTGGCTTAATTGCAGACATAAACATGCTTACCCACACCAGTATGGAGCGGGGTAGGTGTGGGGTAAAGAATATGTCCCCGTGGTTGGCTTTTAATAAGGAACTGTGTTTGGCCCTCTCTCGCTAAATTGATGCTCTTGGGGTCCCTCCAGTCTGTTTGGGAAGGAAGGCAGTCATCTGCTTACCTCTGATGAATTCATGTTCAGAGAAGACGACAGCCAGCTATAGTGGGAAGATCATCAAAGTGGAGTCAGGAGACTCCTTTGGTCCCAGCACTGTCACTAAGTAGCGGGTGGCCTTGCTCAAATCACAGAACCTCCTTGGACCTTGTGTTCTCATCTGTCAGGTGAGTGGGAAGGATGAGGGTGACCTGTAAAGTCCCTTACTGCTCTTAGTCTGGGATTGTAGGAGGGGCCTCCAAGCTCATTTCATGCTTTATGATTTTATGACTTCTGCCTGCCTTTCCTCAGTACCTCTCTCTTTCCTCCTCACAAGCTGGCATTTCTGTGCACATCGGCATCCCCCCACAAAGGATTCCGTATCGCACACAAGACCAGAGATGAATGCTGTAATATGAATACCTGGCAGCCTACATGTAATGCTTTATGTCCTCTTTCCTTATGAAAAATTAGAAGGAAGCATCAAAAAGGCAAGCTCTGGGGAACGTTCAATTGTAAATTTGGGTGTTTGTCATTTCCAAGCTTAAATTGCCACCTCTCCAACCCAAAGCCCCTGTACAAGGTAACAGTCTCCAATATCAGTTATTGTTGAAATGCTTTATCCTTGGACCTCAAGGAACTTACCTCCATTTGTCAAAAAGCTACTGAGCCTCTATTACGTGCAAAATCATGGATGTTGTAGACAACAAAAAGCACAGAACATTCTCTTTTTGGGAGATGTAATTTTATATAAAGTGTATTTTATGCACTGATGGTCCAAGAGGATAGTCATACGTTTTGAACATCTTAAGGTTTCAGCGCTTTGCCTTCATAATATTAGCAATGACTCATTTTTTTAGTTAATGCAAAACTATGTGCTAGCCACCATGCTAAACACGATGTAGGTATTCTCTCATGTAGTCTTTACAACAATCCCATTCTAGAGATGTGGAAACCGAGGCCCAGAGACTTCAAGTAACTGGCCAAAGTCATATAACCAGTAAGGAAAGAATAGGGACTCCAGCCAGGTCAGCCTGCCTCTAAAACCCATGATGTTTATCATCTGAATGGTCTGCTTTGTGTAAAGTTGACAATCCACAAATATTGGTTGGATAATTGAGCAAGAGAAGAGTGAGGGCTTGGAAGGATAAATAAGTGGAAAGCTTTGCAGTGCAGCCCGAGTGGCTTGGAGATGGGGGATGGGGGGTGGGAGAGCGTTGCATGCTGGGAGTGGGGGTGGGGAGTGGGAGAGTGTTCCATTCCCCCTCTACATCAATGAATTGGGCCCAGGCCCTGGAGCCGGTGACTGTCCTCTGGATCCATTTTAGTTCTCATCTGCTCTTGCCTCATGAAGGACTCCACCACTACTCCCAACACATATTAATATCACCTGTATTTACCTTTTTATTTGATGGCAGCCTTTGCTTTGAGTCCCTCAGGTCATTTCTTTTCATACTATCCTCACTTCCACCTCTACTCAGGCCTACTTTCAGCTAAGCTATTATGTAATGTAGCCCATTTCCTGGCCTGAGATCCCGAGATATCCCGGGATATATTCTTAGAGTTGCTTCCTTATCTCCTTTCCAGATGCCCAGGGTGGAGACCAACAAGAGGAGCAGGGGGCAGCCTGATTTATTGCCCTCGGCCCTTTCTCAGCCCCCTCGTCCACACTCAGAGGCTTTGCAAGCTGAGAGACACCCAGGGGCCGGGAGCCACCGGCCAGTGCCGGCCCTTCCACTGGGCCCTCCACATTCGTGCCATCGGTGCCTAAAGATTCGATGAGCAGGGAATGCCTCTGAGGGCTGGCCAGGAAATCTGAACTCACCACAGACCATCAGCAAAAGGAGGGCCGGCCTTGGCCTCTTCTGCCCTCACTCACCCCTTGGGCTTTCTTTGTGTTCCTATCAGGAGCCCAGTCCCTTAGGACCCCTCAGCCTCCCAGCAGTCTTAGCCCTGACTCAGGAGAGGCTGAAGGACTCACTCCCACTGGAACACAGAGGCTGCCCCGAGATGGGACGAGGGAGGGGAGGGATGGAGCGGGTAAGCTGCTCCAAAGGCTGATGCTGTAGAGTGGGGAGAATCGGGGCGTCTCTCAGAGGGTGAGCGGGCTTCCTGGGGCCCTGGAATTACAAGCCGACCAGGCAAGCTTGGCCATCAATGCCAACTGAGGGAGAGAAGGGCAAGAGGCAATAGATCTATTGAGAGCTTGCTACTGGGAGCCTAGGCTGTGACAGAGCCTTTCCACATGGTCTAACCTTTGTTACAATGATCTTCTGGGTTGGGTTTGATGACTCCCAACTTACAGATGAGGAAACTGAGGCTCAGAGAGGCTAAGTAACTCAGCCATATTTTCACAGCAAGTGGTGGAGCTAAAACTTGAACCCAGGTGTATCTGATGCTTCCTTAGGAGGCGATGTTCCACACACAGCCATTTTCATTCAAGTGTGGCGTGGATCCCTTTGCTTTCCTCCTGCTTCCTGGCTGCCTCCCTGCAGCCGGCTTGGACTGCAGCTTCTAGGGTTGGAGGTTTACCCTGTGTGTGTGTGTGTGTGTGTGTGTGTGTGTGCATGTGTGTGTACGTGCATGTGTGCATACGTGTGTGTACATATGTGCGTGTGTGCGTGTGCGTGTACGTGCGTGTGCACGTGTATGTACGTGCACGTCTGTGTATGTGCGCGTGTGTGTGTTTACGTGCCTGTGTGTTCTCACACACAGCCTGCATGGACAGTGTGGGACGTACGGAGAGGAGGAGGAAGGCTTATCACTCAGATTTGCAGACTCTGCCCAAACGTGGTGTCTGTGGGCTCTGCAGAGATGCCTCCTCTCCCCACCCCAGGCTCCTGTTGCTGTCCACCCTCTCTCCTCCTCAAGTTCAGACTGCCAGGACCGCTGTCCCAGGGCTGCCCCAGGGCTTTGGTGTTGTGTGGCAGGCTCTAGTCTCGTTCCCCAAGTGGGCGGTAATTGCCAACAACACACATGTGGAGCAGTATCAAAACCAACTTTATTTTACTTAATTCCCCCCTTCTTCTATGTGCTAAAAAGCTTTATGGGGAAAAAAGGCTCTTCTAGAAAATTACACACTGCATCTCTTTTTCTGCTTCTCCTAGGAAGTTATTTAAGACGGAAATTAGAGCCCATAATTGCACATTTAATTACCCACCAAATGAATGGCATATTTAATGGAAATGGCAAAATCCTCCAACATGTGTAAGACTTCTAGTTCATGCATCTCTAGACGTGTTGCAAAATAATTCATTAATAGAGACGTGAGTTGCTGGGGCTTTCTCAGGTGAAAAGGGCCAGGGAATAGGGCTGAGGATGTGTGAGCTGATTAGCCAACATCCCTGCCCCCTGGGATGAAGAAAATACAGAATTTGCTCCTAATGTGCTGGGAGGTGGAGGCTCCTCTTCACCGGGGGTGGGGCAGGGAAGCCAACACTGGGGTCAGGGGCCTGGGCAGGTTGCTCTTTGGCTGAGTGAAGAGAAGCAGGGGTGGCTAGCCCATCTCCAGCCCCTGCCCAGCCGCAGATTCCCATAGCACCCATATTGCAGCCCAGGCAACCTGCAGAAGCAGCTGCGGGGTCGGGGAGACCCCGAAAAATGGCAGGGACAAGGGGAGTTTCTGAGGTAGTCACTGGGGGGCTGGCACTATCCTCTCTCACCCCCTACCAGTGCTCTAGCTGTGTCCTCTCTGGCTTTGGCTCTAGGCTACTGTTATATTTTAGGGATGTTTGTTCATTCACTCAACCAGGCAGCATTTATGGAACATCTGCTATTTGTGGAAAATCTGTTTGCTCACTCAACCACGCAAACAAGCAAACTTCTTATTAAATACTATTATTCATTCCTCATTCACTCATTTGTTTTAAGCAAAGAATGAACCAGCCAACATATATTGAATACCTATTGATTCACTTACTCACTTTCACTGTACTTTTTAGGTACAGTCAGCAACACTGTACCTACTGTTTGACCACCCATCCATCTACCCAACCATCAACCAACCAAACAACCGTTTATTGAATATTAAATGCGTATTCATTCATACAACCCATAAACATTATGAGCACATACTATATACTATGCATTGTGTAGACACTAGGGAAACAAAGATCAAGACACAGGTCCTGCCTTCAAGGAGCTTAGAGTCAAGTAATAATATTAATAACTGACATTTATTCAGCATTTAATATATACGCCCAGCACTGTGCTGAATGCTGTACATATATTAACTCATTTGCTATGCTAGGTACCATGAAGAAACAGGGACAGAGAATTTAAGTAAATTTCTCGGGAATTCCCTGGTGGTCCAGTGTTTAGGATTCCAGGCTTCCACTGAAGGGGGCCCGGGTTTGATCCCTGGTCACAAGCCATGCAGCGCAGCCAAAAAAGAACAAAGCGTTAGAATATTTAAAACAAAAAGTTCTCAATGTTACACAGCTTTTGAATGATAGAGTTTCAGAGTTTGAACCGTGCTCCTAACCGTGACCTTGGCTCCGTGGGTGGGGTGTATGTTGGGGGGTAAGATATACATTTGCACATCCTATGGAGGAGGAAGAGAAGATGAATTGGCTCTGCCTGGAGGAAAGAGAGGAGTTGGCATTTGTTCTGGGTCTTAAAGAAGGCATGGGACTCTGTGAGCTATAGGGAAAGGAAGGAGAGACATCTTGAGCAGGACAGTGTTGGGAACTGGGGGATGCAAACACATAAAGACATGGTTTCTACCCTCCAGGAGCTTTCAATCTAACAGCGAAAGTGATACACGGATACAGATAACTTCAGCACATGATCGGTGGGGATGGATTAAGATGCAACGGGCTGGAAAACAAGTGGTGCCATTTCAGGCTCCAGTGTGTGAGCAGCGAGGGAAGAAGAGTCTGGAAAGACAGAGTGGATTGTACAGGGACTTGAATGGCCATGTAGGGAGTTTAGGCTTTATTTAGCAGGCAGTGGGGAGCCATTGGAAGTTTTTGAGAGGGTAGAGTGCTAATTATGCTGTTTGTCCCCTAATTTGTACAAGGAGATGGATTCCCCAAAACTGCGTCACCCAGCTCCCTTGCTGGCCAGCTTCTGGTTAGGCTCGGCCAATGGGGCACTGGTAGCTGAGCCAAGCGTGGGAAGAGAGAGAGGTCAAGAAACATCTTTTCTGCTCTGTCCTGCTGGTCCAGCTTTGTCCCTCCAGAAACCTGTATTTTTAGCATTCACCCTAGGTAATTCTAATATTCCAGTAAGTCTGGGAATCATTGATCTGTACTGTTTACAGATCACTTTCTCATTTAATCTTGTAACTGAAAACAATATTCTTTTTTTTTTTTTAACATCTTTATTGGGGTATAATTGCTTTACAATGGTGTGTTAGTTTCTGCTTTATAACAGAGTGAATCAGTTATACATATACATATGTTCCCATATCTCTTCCCTCTTTGTCTCCCTCCCTCCCACCCTCCCTATCCCACCCCTCCAGACAGCCACAAAGAACCGAGCCGGTTTCCCTGTGCCATGCAGCTGCTCCCCACTGGCTATCTACCTTACGTTTTTTAGTATATATATGTCCATGTCTCTCTCTCGCCCTATCACACCTCACCCTTCCCCCTCCCCATATCCTCAAGTCTGTTCTCCAGTAGGTCTGTGTCTTTATTCCTGTTTTACCCCTAGGTTCTTCATAACATTTTTTTTTTCTTAAATTCCATATATATGTGTTAGCATACGGTATTTGTCCTTCTCTTTCTGACTTACTTCACTCTGTATGACAGACTCTAGATCTATCCACCTCATTACAAATAGCTCAATTTCGTTTCTTTTTATGGCTGAGTAATATTCCATTGTATATATGTGCCACATCTTCTTTATCCATTCATCCGACAATGGGCACTTAGGTTGTTTCCATCTCCGGGCTATTGTAAATAGAGCTGCAATGAACATTTTGGTACATGACTCTTTCTGAATTCTGGTTTCCTCAGGGTATATACCTAGTAGTGGGATTGCTGGGTCATATGGTAGTTCTATTTGTAGTTTTTTAAGGAACCTCCATACTGTTCTCCATAGTGGCTGAACCAATTCACATTCCCACCAGCAGTGCAAGAGTGTTCCCTTTTCTCCACACCCTCTCCAGCATTTATTGTTTCTAGATTTTTTGATGATGGCCATTCTGACTGGTGTGAGATGATATCTCATTGTAGTTTTGATTTGCATTTCTCTAATGATTAATGATGTTGAGCATTCTTTCATGTGTTTGTTGGCAGTCTGTATATCTTCTTTGGAGAAATGTCTATTTAGGTCTTCTGCCCATTTTTGGATTGGGTTGTTTATTTTTTTGTTATTGAGCTGCATGAGCTGCCTGTAAATTTTAGAGATTAATCCTTTGTCAGTTGATTCATTTGCAAATATTTTCTCCCATTCTGAGGGCTGTCTTTTGGTCTTGTTTATGGTTTCCTTTGCTGTGCAAAAGCTTTGAAGTTTCATTAGGTCCCATTTGTTTATTTTTGTTTTTATCTCCATTACTCTAGGAGATGGGTCAAGAAGGATCTTGCTGTGATTTATGTCATAGAGTGTTCTGCCTATGTTTTCCTCTAAGAGTTTGATAGTTTCTGGCCTTACATTTAGGTCTTTAATCCATTTTGAGCTTATTTTTGTGTATGGTGTTAGGGAGTGATCTAATCTCATACTTTTACATGTACCTATCCAATTTTCCCAGCACCACTTATTGAAGAGGCTGTCCTTTCTCCACTGTATATTCCTGCCACCTTTATCAAAGATAAGGTGACCATATGTGCATGGGTTTA